GAGAAACCAGCTCGAGTGCGCTAGAATTTGAAAGTACACCACCGAAAAAAATCTGCCCCTTCCTTCAGACTTCCTTACAGAGCCCCTCCTCCAACATACACAAACGCGCACATGACCAATGAGGGCACGAGATAAGTTTGTGCACGAGATGGAACCGAGGACCGAGGCAGATAATTGGACTTGCTTTTTATAGCGCCATGGCTTCCACGGCTTCCACAGATGAAATAGTTGTATATATTTATTGTCAACTCGTTTAATTTATTCATTGCTATCGGGATGTTAAAAGCATTCCATGGAATATAACAAAAAGTGTTTCTGAAGTGAATTACCTAAGTGCAGTACCGAAGTATTTATACTCCACTACTTCCCCCCTCTGGTTAGGGTACACGTACTGTTTTGTGACACTGAGAGGGATTTAGCCAGTTCTAAATGTGTGTTTCCTTCGGGTTTAGGAGGCCTCCCAGGGCAGCCGTTTTCACCTGTGTAATGGGATGTGCTTCTGTAACCTTGACAACATTTGCTGCTGCCTCAATATAGGAGCTTCTACAGCCTTGAGAAGTCTTGCAACCAAATTGCTATTGCTTTTTGTTTTCATTTTCAAGATTTCGTACACTATAAGCTAAGGAAGCAATCCATGTCCTCACTTTACCTGCAGCTAGCTATCTATGTGAATCTATCTTCCTAAAAGTCTGCCTGTTAGTTGCTTTAAAGGTCCCATGTCATGGCCATTTCTACTGATCATAATTCCATTGTTGAGGTATACTAGAATAGATTTACATTGTTCAATGTTCCAAACTCACATTGGTTTCTCATACAACATCTCTGTATAGTATGTGTATTCACTCTCTGTCCTAAACGGCTTGTTGGAGCTCCTGCCCCCCCCTCCCTGTGAGCCCAGTGTGCTCTGATTGGTCAGCTCGCCCACTCTGTTCTGATGAGTCCACCACCGTTACAGCGGAACATCAGTGATTATGTGTTACAATGGCGTTAGCAACCAGAAAAGCGGACAGTGTGAGCTGTCGTTTCCTGGTTGCTGCGTGGGGTCTGCGAGACAGCGAGACACAGCGAAACTCAGCCTGAACTCAGCCTGAGCACACACACGCTCGTAGCCTTGCTGTGAGTTTGTGTGTGTGCTCAGACTGAGTTCAGGCTGAGTTTCGCTGTGTCTCGCTGTCTCTGAGTTCAGGCAGAGAAATCCGCAGAGCTGCAGCTGAGAACAGATAAGGCTGAGTGAGTGTGTGTTTGTGAGGAAGTCGTTACGTCACTATACCAAATACGTCACTATAACCAAGAAGAAAAAAATAGAAAAAGAGAAATCTCCAACGAGGCGTTCTGGGGCAGCATAGACAGGTCTTTTCTGTGTTAGAGTTGTACTCACTACAGGGACTCTACAGACCTTTCACATGAAGAAAAAGCTACATAACACACAAGGGGATGGGTAATAACTGGAAAAGCATGACATGGGACCTTTAATTCATGTAATTTCATTTTTGATCAAGTGTTTATCAAAAGCTTTTGGGACAATTTAACTCTATTAATAATAATACATTTAATTTATATAGCGCTTCTCATCTGCCAAGACAAATCTCGAAGCGCTGATCTATTGTTAGATCACTAAGCAATCAGACAATGAACTTAACGTATAGCGTCAAATAAAACGTTTCCTTTTTAACATTTCAAATGCATTTGAACAGATCGACAAGGCGGAGGACTTTTTACTGATTTACCACGGCTGTCCGTAGCCCCTGCATGGCATTAGGTTGTGGGCTAGTGCGTTGATCTTCATATCTTTGGATCAGGGAAGCGCTGGTTCAACCTCAAATTGCTCCTGTGGGGATTGGACAGAGTAATGAGTGTATGTAAGTGGCTTTAGGTAAAAGCGTCTAACAAGTAACATGTCATGTAAACATTTACAAAGCAGGCCGCTCCCGGCTGTCAATGTGGCGTAAAGCAGTAATTGGGGTTCCAACATTTACAAAAAATCTATTTTGCATATGGTTTATTAAGTAGTAATCATGGCCAACACATTTGTCAAGCATACTCACAGTGTGTGAGAACTCCTCAGGGCTGCCTTTAATATTTCTTTAATCTTCAATTACGCAATTGTTTTGAATGGGATTCTGGACAAATGGCAAGGAATAGTGTCATTTCCTCTAACAGAAGTAGTTTAAGTGGCTGAAATCTAATTTTAAACTAGTCCTTTTAATTATAGGGTATAGCACTTTGCTGCCGCTAGCAAACATGAACATCAATTTCAACTTGCTTTAGTGTTAAATATTGTAATTAGGTAATGGCATGCCCCTTGCCTTTAAACAATAATAATGCCACTTTACTTCTGTAGGTATAACATTGAGCTTGTTATAGGCATGATAACGATGAGGTTAATGCTAAAGCAGACAAAGGCTCTGTTCATTCCCTACAGTGATCTGTTGTGCTCTTGTGTGTTTCTCTCCGGATGACAGAAACACACTAACCTCATTACTCTCTGAGTATCTTTCACTACAGCTCCATGTACACCTCTATGACACATGTCGACAGGCATGTTTTGCCTCAATGTTGTTGTTAGACTACAGGTTGTTGCTAAGGGAAGGAGTTTTGCGAAAGGTACATTTGACCAAGACTGCTCAGAGCAGGGCCGAATGCTTGGCCTGTGTTGGTTGCTGCTTGGAACTTTTTTAAGAACCACTCATCAAAACAACTTCACTCTCAACACCAGTTCCTTTGTTCCTGAGCAATGACCTGCCCTGGAATAGTTCTGTTACACGTTCAGGTCAGAAATACATTCTGGTTCACGGGAAAATGGCCGGTCTCTGCCATTAGGCAAGTTTGGCAACACTTTGATAACAAAATATTACAATGCATTATTATTCATTTACTTATGTCCAGCATTTCAATTAGAATTGAAAGTGTTCATTTCTTTTAGAGGCACATGTTGCTGACAATGCCTCTTTTTCACGTGAGGTTAGGAGGGAAATGCAGGACTTTGCAGCATTTATAGTTCTTACTTCAGGAACACGTTTTGAGTGGTCCTTCTTGCACAGCCACCACCTCTATTGCCAGCGAGGACGGGGTTTCAGGGCTCTGCAGACTGAATCCAGAATGGTGTCTGCAGCTGGAAACAATGACGTTACAAGGATTCTGAATAAAATGTTACGACCAAACTATTCTTCACTTCCCTGCAAAAGCAGATAGCTCACAGGAAGCAGAATCGTACCGCTTGTGTTTCATTCTGTGAAGTTAGCGTGAATTGGTTAGGGAGTGTAGCCTATTTTATTATAACCACCAGATACAAAAACAAACCTCTTCTGAATAACCAAAGAGGTTTTGTTAAAGCAATTGTTTTGTCTTGTTTTACTTTTCACCCTTGCTCTAACTGCGTCACAGAGTGCTGTTAGCCTGTACACAATGCATTCCTTAGTTCTTCAGCAGTACATCCACGTGTGAAGTAGATCAGATAAACAGTGCCTGTGATATACAAAGGACACAACGACACCAGGTTAATGATTAACCGTTAACCGACAATAACTATTTTGAACTTTTAATGCTATCAGTTAAAAAAAAGAAAAGAACCTGAATAAAACTTGGAGGAGCAGCTTGTAACTCAAAGGACGATAGCTGTTAAATTAGCTTAAACCGGAGATAAATTAGGAGCTAGACCAAGCTCCCAGAAAGTGAAATGGCCAATGTAGCAAATGTTTGTAATAACTTCGCTGTCTTAATTGAAAAGAGGCGTCTATAAATTAGCACATACCTTTCTTTCACTTAAAGGTCCCATGTCATGGCCATTTCTACTGATCATAATTCCATTGTTGAGGTCTACTAGAATAGATTTATATTTTGCAATTCTCCAAACTCACATTGGTTTCTCATACAGCATCTCTGTATAGTATGTGTATTCACTCTCTGTCCTAAACGGCTTGTTGGAGCTCCTGCCCCCCCCCTGTGAGCCCACTGTGCTCTGATTGGTCAGCTCGCCCACTCTGTTCTGATGAGTCTACCACTATGGTCTACCACCGTTACAGCGGAACATCAGTGATTATGTGTTACAATGGCGTTTGTTAGCAACCAGAAAATGACACCAGTAATGACAAACAGACGAGAATGCTGCGTGGGGTCTGGGTCCCGTGTTGGCAGGACGTTGCGCGGCTCGCTGCTGCGAGGGGCGGACAGTGTGAGCTGGGTTCATTTCCTGCTTGCTGCGTGGGGCCTGCGAGACAGCGAGACATCGCGAATGGACGCGGGAAGGGGGGGATGCTGAGGGGGCTGCAGCACCCCCATCTGCGAGGCTCCACTAGCACCCGCTTGCAGACCGTTTACTGTACATGCATAAAAACCTTCATAACACACAAGGGGACGGGTAATAACCGGAAGAGCATGACATGGGACCTGTAAGGTAAATGCTATGCACTTGCTTCATGGGCCGGATGTATTCAGAATATCATCTGAAGATCCAGGGAGGATTCAGGTATTTTTGTTGTTGACAGGCAGGCCGTTTTGCCTTTATGCCTCACTGAGAAACGATTAACATGAATGAACTGGGCCCCGCCTCCAACGCTGTATCCAGATCTCTCTATACATTCAAGGGCTCATACCCCTTCAGTTGAATCAGCAGGTGGTAAGCAAGACACAAACTCTGCTAAGGTCTTAAGGAGTTGCATCAGTTATGTTTATCAGCTATGTTAGAGATTTAACGTTAAAGGGAACGTGAGTGCACGCAAACACAGTGGCTTCAAACTGGTTGACGGGTGAACTGAGGACAAAGTACATTGCAGCTGTCCGATGCTAGTGTTGGCTCTTGTAATGGAGATGGACGTTCCCTGTTTGTGCAGCGGTAATCGTCGCAGCTGTGCAGCTAGCTAGCACTTCCACCACAACAGCTGTTAATGCTTAATATTTGGGTCCACTATGGGTCAGAATTACTTTCCTTAATTTTCACCCCATAACCACATGGGGTGAGGAGGTTTGTGTTTCTGTTAAAATCACGAACCTGAAGCCAGCTGAATTTTTTCACCACTTTTTAATGAAATATCTTAAACACAAGTGAAATATTTAAAAATCATGCAAAATGAGTGACCTATCCCTTTTAATCTCCATTAACATCCATCTGTTCAGGTCTGTACAAATATCAGAGTAGCAGTCTCCCCTTTCAGCCTTGTAACCTGATTTCACATTCTCTTTGAAAATTGACTTCTTTAGTTACTATTTGATATCAGAACCATCACATTTTTATATCTCTCATCGTACCGCAGCCGAGTGCTTCTTTGTTGCCAGGGGTTCAGTCCATCAATGGAAATGTGATAATTCCTCCAGTCAACGGATGATCATTTACACAATTGCCTTATGTCGGCAGAATTTGAATATGGACGTTATTTAGTCGTCAGATAACATCCATCCCTCTGAAAATGAGTTGAGTCTTTAAATCTCCAGTCTTTGTGAGGTAACACAACAAATAAAAACACAGTAGACGTCAGAGTCCTGGTCCGATCTGTTCTTCACTAAAATGGTTTGAAGTTCAGAAAGCTTGGCTGAGTTTGTCGAGCTGTCTGGAGCACAGCGCAACACTTCTGCTTCCCGTTCAGTTAGGGTCAAACAGCAGGCCCAGTTCCACTTGGCAGTGAGAAATAGACACTCGTGGCGCTGCAGCTTGACATATTTTTATCTTCTACTTCAGGAGCCACTGATTCACTGAGGAAGAGAGGAGAAGGAGGATAATTAGCACTCAGAGGATAAGCAGTGTGGAATAAAACACACAACAAAGGGGCGCCTCAGGTTTCAGAAGTTGTGAGACAAAGAAAGAAAGAGAATGTGTGCGTGAAAAAGGATAATGAGAGACAAAGGTATGCAGAAAAGAGACTAAAACTATGCAAATTCCAAACTTTTTTACTAAATCCAAGCAGGGTGAAAAAGTAAGAAAAGTATGTCAGTGAGTACAATGCATTTTACTGTTGACAACCACTATATTCCCAAACAAATGACGCAGTCACCTTAAGGGGCTTTCACAAACTTCAAGATTCAAAGGTTTTATTGTCATAAGCAGCGTCTATAAGCAGTTGACATAAGACCAAGTCTATTTGCCAGCCTACAGTATAAAGCACTATTGTGAACCTGGAAATGTTGAGCACCCCACATTTAGATTTTAGAAATGTAAAATAGGGGTCACCAGAAATTAGGTACTGTCCAATTCTAACTTGCATATTAGCAAATTGCGTAATCAGCATAAATTGTTTTAATTAGCATTTTTACACAGATTAGTTGAATACTCAATTCTGATTGGTCCATTTGGACATTTCAGAGGTTGTGAATACTCATCATTTCAATGATGACTCAATCATAAAATGACTGTTGCAAACGAAAATCAAGGGACTATGTGCAGTCATATCAATCCGCAGAAAGAAGTCCGATCGATTTAACGTCAGCAAAACATTGTTTTCATCTATCTACAAACACTACGCTGTGGTTCCAGCGTACCCCATTTTTTTTTTCAGCAGAAGCGATGTGAAAATGTTTCAGTCAATACAATAATTTGTTATCAATATTGTGAGTCAAGTCGTTGGTTTATGTGTGTTTAATATGTGGCTGTGTAATAAGCAGGATAATGTTTTACAGGAATTGGCAATATTTCAACAACAGCTTGGACGATTTGGACGATATTGGGGTGGTTTTGTGGATTATTGGGGATGCTGAATCAATTTTGACCAAGTCATCATTCAAAATAGCTGTGTAAACTTCAATTTTGAAGATACTTATTTGCTTAATATATTTCACCTGAATTTCAGAATGAAGAGAGCTCAATAAAGAAAGAAACTAGAAAATGCATTTCCTGCTGAAAATGCGTGCGAATGCTGTAAACTGTGTACATTTGTTGCTGAATTTAGCTGAAAATGCAGAAAAAGCTGAATATGTTATTAGTTGAATGGTCTCTGTAGCTGCTTAGAAACCAAGTAAGTGTGTTGCTGAACTTAGCGGAGAAATGCAGAAAAGTGAAATGATTTTAATCAAAATTGTTACAGCTCAAATCTGGTGGCAGTATATGCCGTGAACTTGTTTGCGGCCTGCCAGTAAACCCAAAGCAGAAGAAGAAGAAGTGACGTCAGCGGCTTCAATTGCCTAATCCTCCCTCAGGGACTTATTCCGGTGTGAACGCAATATGCTCTTTAGTTCCGGGAACTAAAGAGTTCTGATGAACTAAGTACTGGGAACTAAGTACGGCAAAGTACTTTGTGTGAAAGCGCCAATTTACAATGGGCCTTACATGTTGAAAGTCTTTGTCACTTCATGCCCTCAAGAGGCATTTTGTTTAACTGTTTTGCTTAATCTTTTTACATTTTTCAACGTAAGAGAGGTTTTCCTACAATTCAAGCATACAATTATGTCCCAGGAGTGTAGGGTTCGGGAATTATGGCAGTTTAAAAAGAAAAATGTAAGGCGAATTTCAAGCTCTCCTCCACTCTAGCTGTGACATCACGCGCTCTAAGCCTTAACACTAATGTTAAAATCTGAAGAAAGCAAGGCAAGGCAAGGCAAGTTTATTTATATAGCACCTTTCAACACAAGACAATTCAAAGTGCTTTACAAAAATGAAAGACATTAAGAGCATTACAAAACATATTATAAAATGATATCTAGAAACACTCATTTAAAAGCAATGATATAAAATGACATTTAAAAACACTCATTTAAAAGCAAAGATAAAAAGCAAAGATAATAAAAGTTACAGTGCAGTTTAAAATATGAATATATCAATTAAAAGCAGCGGCAAAAAGAAAAGTCTTCAGCCTGGATTTAAAAGTAGTAAGAGTTGCAGCGGACCTGCAGGTTTCTGGGAGTTTCTTCCAGATATTTGGAGCATAATAACTGAACTTCTCCATGTTTAGTTCGGACTCTGGGGACAGAAAGCTGACCAGTCCCTGAAGACCTGAGAGTTCTGGATGGTTCATAATTTGGCAGGAGGTCAGAAATGTATTTTGGGCCTAAACCATTCAGTGCTTTATAAACCAGCAGCAGTATTTTGAAATCATTTATTTGACACACAGGAAGCCAGTGTAAAGACTTCAGAACAGGAGTGATGTGATCCACTTTCTTAGTGTTAGTGAGGACTCGAGCAGCAGCGTTCTGAATGAGCTGCAGCTTTCTAATAGATTTTTTAGTGAGACCTGTAAAGACACCATTACAGTAGTCCAGTCTACTGAAGATAAAAGCATGGACAAGTTTTTCCAGATCCTGCTGTGAGATTAGTCTTTTAATCCTAGATATGTTCTTTAGGTGATAGTAGGCTGATTTAGTAACTGTTTTAATGTGACTGTTGAAACTCAGGTCAGAGTCCATGACTACACCTAGATTTCTGGCTTTATCTGTTGTTTTGAACATTGCAGACTGAAGCTCAGCGCTAACTTTTATATACGTTCTGCCTTGGCTCCAAAAACCATTACCTCAGTTTTATCTTTGTTTAATTGGAGAAAGTTCTGACACATCCAGTCATTGATTTGTTCAATGCACTTACTCAGTGTTTGAATTGGAGCATAGTCTCCTGGTGAAATGGTTATGTAAATGTGTGTGTCATCCGCATAGCTATGGCCACTTATTTTGTTGTTTTTCATTATCTGAGCCAGTGGTAGCATGTAGATGTTAAAGAGAAGAGGCCCCAAGATGGAGCCTTGAGGAACCCCACATGTCATATTTGTCAACTCAGATGTGTATTTACCTATAGAAACAAAGTTGTTTCTGTCCTTTAAGTAGGATTCAAACCAATTTAGAACTGTTGCCAAAAGTCCCACCCAGTTTTTCAGTCGGTCTAGTAATATGTTGTGGTCAACCGTGTCAAACTCAGCACTGAGATCTAATAATACTAACACTGTGTCACGATTTTAGTTTTATGTCACGATTTTAGTTTTGTCTGTCTTGTCATGGGTTTTATTTTGCAATTCTGTTCTCCCTGTGTCTTGTCTTCCTTCCTGTGTTTGCCCTCCTGTGTCTGATTGTCTGATTGTGTTCACCTGTTGCCCTTGTGTTTCTGCCTCCCCTGCCCAGCTGTGTCTTGTTCTGTGATTACCATTCTTTGTATTTAGTTTTGTCTTCCCCTGTGTTCCATGTCAGTTCATTGTCTTTCCTGTCCTCCATGTTGGTCACGATCAGTTTTTGTTTTGATGCTAGCTGTTTATTTTATGTCATGTTTTGTCAGTCATCAGCTTTATAAAATAAAGCTCGCCTTTTGTTCCTTGACCTTTTTGCCTTTTTTATTCTGCATTTGGGTCCTACCTTTTTCCCGAATCCTGACACACTGAAGTTCTGCCACTGTCTGTGTTTAAGTGGATGTCATTGAAGACCTTTACAAGAGCAGTATCAGTGCTGTGGTTTGGACGAAAGCCTGCCTGGAACACATCGAAACAGTTATTTAAAGGGGACCTATCATGCAAAATGCACTTTTGTACGTCTTTTATACATGAATATGTGTCCCCGGTGTTCCAGGGAACTCACCAAGTGTCAGAAAACACAACCCTCTCTATTTTCCTCCATACCCAAATCTCTAAAAAAGGGGCTGCAACGGATCTGATAAAAACTGATCCAGATTTCAACACTGTCCTGACGTCAGGACAGTGGCGCTACGGCTATTGGGCCAACTCCACCAATCAGGAGGAGACAGCCACGGCCATTGCCGTTCGAAAGAGCTGGAGACGCTGTAGTACATATGCCAGGCCTGTAGATGGTGCTGTTCTGACATAATCTGCCCTTGCAAAAACAGAGCTAAAAAATGTCAAATTGAGCAAAATGAGGCATGGCTAAAATGCATGATCGGATTTGCGTAAAAAACTAGTTTTTTTTTCTGGGTTTTGTTTGATTTTAAATAAACAAAGTCTTGGCTTTCAGAATATGAAACTTTTATTTCCAAAATCACACGATAAATACATTTTTGAAGCTTGTAAAGGGAAGAAGACAGCTCTCACTCACCACTCTGCTCTTCCGCAGCGCCGCTCCCCCTCCCTCCCTCCAGCTGACATTATGAATGTAAGGCATATAGTAATCATAGATAACACGGCAGGGTCCGTTACAGTTTGTTTTCATCTGATTTCAATTAAACAAAGTCTTAGCTTTCAGAATATTAAACTTGTCTCGGCAAATTCAGATGATAAATACAACTATGAAGCTTGTAACGGCATAATTACAAGCGGAGAACGGAGTAACTTGACGTCACAGCAGGCATAACAACAGCCGGTGTTTCTCGTGAGTGTTTTCCCCGGGAAACAGACATAATACACACAAACGCAAAATTACACAAACACACACACACGTATACACACACACTCACTCGCGAGCTTCCCCCAGACCAGTAATCCAAGCGAAAATATCTTCACTCTGTAGTATTTTGATCATTTGCTCCGCTAATAATCAATCAGATCGATGGATTCCAGAGAAGAGGAAACTTTGAAGGCCTTTTTCTCAAAATGATGACTCGGTGACAGTCATTATATAATGTGACATATTTTGCTTAATATTTGGAGTACAAAAACAATCCTGATATCATTAGAAAGCTAGGAATCTCATCTTTCCAACAGTGTATACAACTGAAAATGTGTCTTCGGGTCAATGCGACTGATTTCGTTGGAGCAGGTCACATACAGTATGAAGTAGATCTGAGGCCATGCAATGAAAAACATTTTTGAAAAATCCTGTTGGAATAATATCAAGGC